CGAAACTTGTAGTTTAAAGAGGCACGTACTTTTCTGCCTTTTTAATCGAACAGCTATGCCAACAACCCAATAGAAAGAAAAACTATAAATACACCATTGTCACTGTATTGTTGTATTTTATTATTGATTGATTAAGAGAAATCGAAAGAATGTCGATATCTGCGAAAAATTTTGAAAGATTTGCTGGAATTAAAGTTACTCGAATAAAACCTCATCTAAATCAACACTCATCGATCTGTCAATATAAAAGTTCAAATCAAAACAAAGAAGTAATTTAAAACTAAACTTTACGCCCTTGTTTTGAGTTCACCATATATTGATCTTCTCGTATCGTTTTGAGGTGCCTGTTATTCATGCCAAACTAAGACCAAACATTTGTGATCAAGACATAATTACGACACTTGATCATTCGTTAACACAACGAACTGGTGCCTCTACCACAGCTAATATGTCAATGTTCATAGCATCAACTGTTCACTTTCCAACGACAACTTCACCTGATAATATTGAAATCAAAAGACTTAGTGGTCATACCAATCTTAACTCATCTCAGGTATAGAAATTATGAAACAATTCTTTAAAGATAAGCTTTAAATACCAAAAAAACCTTCAAAATTGACTAGCTTTTTCAAAATAATATAACAAAATTTATTCTACTAAGAATGCATAGTAATAGTATATTGAATTGTAGTGATCATACCTAAGAATATCTGTTATTAATTTAAGAGGTTTACTCGAGTCTCTGATCTTACATAAAGTCTTGTTCTAAGGAAAGTACAACAATACAAAATTCAATTAACATAGAATTGAACTCAACAGAAAAATTGGAGTGTCACTCTAGCAAAACTTGAATAGATAAGATGAATGACTGCATGAGTTTCAGCACGTCTGTACACGATCATAGATGCCAACTGCTAAATCTGCTTCTAAGCATATGCAGAGAAATCAATTCTTGATTCAGTTGAAGAATGCCTGATAATGTATCTAAATTAGACATCGGCATATAAGGAAACTTTTAGTTGTTTATTATCGTTTTCTGCATTTTTATAATTCCTGAACTGCGTCAAATTGTACCCTTGTATCGACAAACTTTTTCTCAATATTTTAAATGATGCTTAGTTGTGAAGAACGAGTGATTTATTTGAATCGTAATAGATTCATCAAGCGAAAGAAGAAAAAGAATTTATCATGGTAACTAAGCGACTGAAAAACACATTTCAATAAGAACAATAAAAAAGAGTATATACTATCTTTAATTTTTCATTATATAAATAGTACCATTCAAAAATAATCCTTGGAAAATGTCCTTAACACATTCGCCACGATGTAACCCATCGGTGGGCCATACTATATTTTGACGAGAAACTATAGAAAAGCATTTTCTTTTGCTTTTTCATTAGATAGGAGGTTAAACATAATGTGTTATCTGTTCTGCCTTCAGTACTTTTTTTTGAGTTCTCTATTCCATAGCATGATGCTTCTTGTTAAAACGATCAAGACAAAAACATTTATCACAGTCAGAACAGAAGGTTTTTACTTTCTTTGCTGCCGCATAGCTCGCTTCTCTTGATTGTTATGCCCTTCCCTTCGCATAGCAGCCAGTATAGTGTCTATCGACATTGCGCGTAGATCTTTCCTTTTCTTCGAGCGTGCGATCAGTGAATTCGCACATGAAATAGGTTGCTAATTCAGCTTCTTGAATGGCATGCCATGCAGAAAAGACCTCACAAGACTTTCGCCAAACTGCAGAATAGTTACTGTGCTTCATGTGATTTTACGAACAAAAAAGAGAAAACGACAGATCAAGACAGAACGAAAAGACCAAGGAGTGCATTTATCGAAAGATGAGTGCACACGAAAATGAATCTGTAGAGTTATTCTCTAATAAAATCGAATTGTGTCGAATGTGTTAAAGTGAATCATCGTATTGATTGAATCAAATAATTTCTATTCTCAAATATAAACTTCTATATCCTTTAAAAATACATTTGTTTCTCAAAATAATTTTATAAAAAGCCAATAATCGGTTGTACATCATAGAAGAAAAAGTGAATCTACGATGATTTTCAAGTAGAAATTTTTCGTTAATGTTGATTTTGTTTGATCTCTTACTTACGTTCTTGAAATTCAAAATTTATATCATACATCAATGGCAGTAAATTGCCTTTTATATATTGCTTTAATACATGTAGTTAACGATTAAGAGTTAAGTCTTAAATAGATCTCTATTTAGGTTGGTAAAATTATTAATGATTTAGTCTTATCGTGAATGCACAACAGTATCCTAACAAGAAAAACAAATATTTCAAAATTCTGTTGCTTTTATGTTCTTATAGGGAAGTACTACATTCAATCAGAGTGGA